CTCAGTCCTCACCTCCTTCTACAGGTGTGCAGTGGAGAGCATCCTGTGCTCCAGCATCAACGTGTGGCATGGAGGCTGCCACACATCTACACCTCCAGATGCAGGAAGAGGGCCACCTGCATCATGAAGGACCCCACTCACCCAGCGCACACACTTTTTGCCCCGCTCCCTCAGGCAGGAGGTTAAGGAGCATTAAGTGCAGAACCACTAGACTGAGGAACAGCTTCTACCCTGAAGCTGTTAGACTCATAAATCCCTAATTGGAATAATCACTGTAAAAAATAAAATAATAACTGTAGTGCCACTTTCATTGGTGATCTGTGCTGCTGTTTATCCATGCTGCTGATCTCATGCTGCTGATTATTTCATGCTGCTGTGTTCATTCATACTCATCTGCTAACACAGACTCAAGTTCGTGCTGCTGTTGTTCGGCGTATTGTTTTGCACTATTAGTGTTTAGCGTATTTCTTAGTTTATATCAGATCCTTATTTACTGTTTCTTATTACACTTTATATTTTAGCTATTGTTGGATGTAACTGGGACCCTGTGTACACAGTCTCGTTCCACCTCATGTGCCACATGTTTTGTGAATGACAATAAACCAATATTTTCCTCACATCCACTTTATTTTTTTGTCATCACTAATATCTAAACCAAGTGTAAGCATTGAGGACAGTCACATTCCTTTAGATTGACTAAATGTAATATTCACATGCAGAGCATAGTACTTGAAATGTGATTTATTGCAGTCAATGTAGTCCTTTGCACCCTTGACATAGCACTGAATGATAATACAGTGACAATAATTTTCTGATATTATGAGCAGCCCCCAATGTGTGCTGTAAAAAAAACTATTTCCTATACAGCCCCATGTTATATCAGGAACTTGTGCATTTTGAAGTGATGACACCAACACAGCTTTATTAACCACAACCAATGTGATGAAACGCCTAAAGAATAAACACATGACTGAAAACAATGACATCACTCAGCTAAGTTGTGCTAATGTTTTCATATAGGATGATGAAGTTGGTCTCAGAGTTACACTGTGAAACAAATGTTTTGTCATAGTTGCTAAATGGAATGCTACAAATCCGAAATCGATGCAGGAAAACGTCAAAGCAAAGACAGTTATGAAAAGGGTGATTGAATTTACGACCAGACCATTGCAGTGGCAGTGAATGATTGTTCTTATCATTCATTATACATTTTTTAAAGCAGCTTAGCAGAAAAAAAAAAAATCTTATTTTTATGCAACTTATCTAACAGCCTAAACTGTTGCATTTTTTTTTTTTGTTTTTCTTTTAACATTAGAGGAACTGGTTTTAAGGGGGGGTTCTGACATTTATCTCAGGGCTTAGCTTAGCTGTAATGTGCAGTTTTACCTGCCTAGCATTTCAATGAATTTGTTACAAAAACACATGTGCAGGGAAATTCCATTAGGGTAAATTAAACATGTCCTTATCTGTGTGCAAGAAAATACAAAAGACAAGAGAAACCTGGATAAAGCCAAAATGATGTGAGAATGAGCTGCATCACATATGTATTTGTGTAATTTCCTTGAAACACTCGACTTTTTGGCTGCATTTTTTTTTTTTTTGCTTTAGATAACAGTTCATCTTCTGACTTTTAATTAGCTTAATATTTCATTTGTAACTACTTGAAAACAAAATTTGTTTTCCGAGCACCACTGAAAGCATACTAAGTACCACCAGTGATACTTGCACCACATTGTGCAAACCTTGAATTGAGGTAAATGTTCATTAGCTTCCAAAGGCAACATCAACAAAATGCAAAAGAAAAAAATATATATATACATATATACAAAAAATATTAATTTCAAATCCATAAATGATGAGTTCATATTAAATGAATGGCCAAGTGATTTGTCACATGATGTCAGAACAGATTTTAATTAAAGCACAGGTGAAGAGAAGGTGCAAAAAGAAGATTAGGACGTTATTACAGTTTATAAACTATTTAATTAGTAAAATTCAAAACCAACATAGAGCTTGCTATTGAAACATTATTATTCTGAAGACGTTTAGCAGGAAGGCTTTATGTCATTTAGTCCTATCCTTTAACATCTTGTTGACGGCACATGATTCACTTTTATGGGAATAAAATATACAAATAAATATGGATCTAGCAAACTAGGGTTTTAAATATTGGTTATAAACATTTATAACCACCACCATCTCAGAAAACATTAAACAAAGAAATTTGTTTGATTTCCCGAGATCACCAACCAACTCTGCTTGTTATAAAATTAGTTTCAGCAGGGTCAGGGGTAACTCAGCTCCTGCTAAGACGTGGAGCGCTAGGATTTATCGGTATGACACTCTGCTCCTATTTCTCTTCTCTGGAGGAGACACAGATAAGTATTCTGCACAAGGTCTGGTCATGAGCGAATGGTTTGATGAGGCAAATGGTTAGAAGAAGACAGCCAATTTACAGGCCCGTGTGTATGGTGGACGTGACCAGCAGTGTCTCAGTGGTGCATCCGTCAACTGCCACTCAACATAGTCCAACATCACTCCTACGCATCCTGACTCTTTCTGCCTCTTTGTGTCTGTCTACTTCCACAGGAACACACTTTTTACCTTATATTACCTCGTGTGCTATAAACTTTGACTTGAATTATTTTACTTGCAGACTGATGTTTTAGCCAATGCTTTTCAAAATTTAATTTAGACAAAAAGTCTTAGGAATATGTCCATTTTTGTGTGAAATGTGAGCCTGCAAATTCCTGCTGTAGTGACCTTTAGCACAAAAGCAATTATACAGGTGAATATTAGAGCTGTAGATAATAAATATTTTAGTAATCTTTATTTTTTGTTCATCAAATAATCAGCTGACTTATAAAACAACTGTAGTGAGCTAACCATCATCTTGACAGGTAGCTTTGTGCAGATACCTCTGTGCATGTCTGAGATTTCAGCTTTTAGTGATACTAAGTTATTTTTTGCTTGTTTTTATTGTTCCAATGTGCGGAAGTCACCAGCATGTACAGTATATGTAGATCTGAGTGGGAGAACAACGTGAAAATTATGTCTGGCTTTCCTGAGTGCAACAGCATGCCTTTGACAGTCCAAAACTTTTGTCTGTCTTCTAAAAATATTTTCCTTTGCTGGTGAATCATCTCGAATGCAGGCAAAGTACATGACTTTCTCTAGACAGGAAATATCAAAACCCGACAATTCATCTTTCCTTTTTTTAAATGTCAGCATCAAAAACAGGATTTATTTTCATCCCAATGCATCTTGCACATCAGTAAATCAAGTCTCGAGCCCTGTGCCACTGAACTGTCCCAGTTCAGGCCCATTGATACAGCTCCACATATGTTATTTTCATGACCTCTTACTCTAGTTTGTGCACATTTACTTTAATGGCCACTTCCTTTTTAGTTTCATTGTGAAGAATGAAGGTGTTCGCAGGAAATGAATTTCCCAATACCCAGACACCTACTGTTTGATCAAAACTACTGATGACCATGCACTGTTAGGGTAACTTCATTCTGTTCTAGAATACATGTGGCTGAGTGGTTAGAGCAGTCGTCCTCCAATGCAAGAGTTGTGGGTTCGAATCCACCAGCAGTCACATGCCAAGTGTCCCTGGGCAAGACACTGAACCCTTCATTGCCTCCGATGTGTGTCCTATTGGTGTATGAATGTGATCTAAAAGCACTGATTAGTGTCTTTAGAATGATTTGTTCAATTAGCTTTGTAGAGATCTAGTAGAGTGCTGTATGAATGGGTAAATGAGGACACAGATTGTAGTGTAAAGCGCTTTGAGCATCTCCATAAGATAGAAAGGCGCTATATGAGTACAGTCTATTTATTGTTTGAAATAGTCCTTAATTTTTAGAATTGTGGGACTTTTGGGATTTTTTCTGTCATCCATTTAGGTTTTACATGGTGAGCTCAACTGCATAAAATGTTGCCAAATTTACAACAAATGTCCCATCCATGCCTGTTAATCCATCCATCCATCCATCCATCCAGCCATCCATGTCCATGAATCATCCATGTGCATCCATCCATCCATGTGCATCCATCCATCCATGTGCATCCATCCATCCATCCATCCATCCATCCATCCATCCATCCATCCATCCATCCATCCA